CAGTTCACTAATTCTCTAGCTATTGGACAGGTTCGTTTTTGTCTTTGTTTTTTTTTTTCAAATTTCGTGGCTTTTGTTTGATGTATGTCAAGTAGCAGATTCATATTTTTCGTTTTTTTTTTTTTCACATAGGCAATTGTTACAAATCTCCCTACTTCCGACATGGTGGAATCATGCTCTGTAACCTGACCTGGATATATCAATGTTGTACTATCAACTAAATGGATAGCTAAGGTACTGATCTTGTATTGCTTACTTGTATAGTCGTTTTTCTAGTATTTCTTTAACATAATTGTTGATTTAATCTAATCCACAGGCATTGAAAATATGCTTATCAATGGAATTGATGATACATGGGCGCCTACTCTTTCGGTTTAAGAGAGCAGTTGTTGATTTTTCCTCTCCAAACATTGCCAAAAAAAATGCATGCTGGTCATCTTAGATCAGCTATCATCGGTGACACTATGGCTCGCATGCTCGAGTACTCAAAGGGGAGAAACCATGTTGGTGATTGGGGAACACAGGTAGCTAATACTGAATGGTTTATTAACCTTGAAACTGAGTGTTTAAATCTTGTATTCCAAAGAAACTAACTGATTCTGCAGTTTGGGATGATAATTGAGTACCTCTTTGAGGAGTTTCCTGATTCAGATAGTGCGGCGGAGGTTTCAATTGGAGATCTTCAGGTCAGCTGCTTTACTTTACAGTTCTTCCTTTTGTACCAATGTGGTTTATTCGAATACTCGAAGCAATTCAGTTTCTAACTTCATATGTCATCTTATAGTCGTTTTACAAAAAAATCAAAAGAGAAATGTGATGCGGATCCAGATTTTAAGAAAAAGGCACAAAAGGTAAAGGGATATCTGGGAACATATACAAATATTGTTTTGAAGCAGATTAATGGAAAAGAGATTGATGAAAAGAAAAATATACATTGATTCTTGACAGGGAGAAAGCTTTTACAAACCTTATATCGATAACATGATTGAGGAATTGAATAGCAAAGGCATGGTTGAAGAAAGTGTGATTTTCATCAAAGACTTCAAAATCCCACTCATGCTTGTAAAGACTGATGGTGGTTTTACCTATGACACTTTGCTAGGTTCTTCAAAGTAGGTTTGATGAATGTATATATATTTTGGCGTATCGTGAAATGTTATGTCTTGATTGTAATCCTGAATCGTAATTGTGGTTTGTCTTGTTACTCTGAACCAGGCTGCGAGAAATGCAGGTTGGCTTCCAGAGAATGATAAAACTTACCCTAGAGCTAGCCATGTTACGTTTGGTGTAGTCACCCGGGAAGATGGCAAGCGATTTAGAAACCGTGATGGAGAGATAATCCCCTTAACTGATTTGCTAGATGAGGCCAAGACTCGCAGTAAAGCTGCCCTTGTTGAGCGTGGTATATCTAACTTTGCGTCAGAATTATTTTCTTTTTTGGATTGTTGAACCATTCACTTGTTCATCATCCCTTACATGTTGTTTCTCTGTTTTAGGTAAGGTCAAAGAATGGACACTCGAGAAGCTAGACCAAACAGCTGAGGCAGTTGGATATGGTGCGGTGAAGTAAGTAATCATCTCTATTCTACTGCTGGTGATAGTGAAATTTTATTTACTATCTTCTGTTTTTTCGATGAATTTTGTAGTCAATGCTCTGCACAAAATATGATGAATGTTTTCATGCTACAACTAACTTGCGGTTTCGTTTAATTTTCCTTTCAAGGTATGCAGACTTGAAGAATAACAGGCCTACACCGTATGTTTTCAGCTATGATAAAATGCTTGATGACAAGGTGCTGGAATTCGCTGAAAAAGGTACTTATTTTTTGCTCACACGACCTCAAATTGCTTTAGTTTTTATTCATTGTTCCTCTTTTGGTATGTGTCATCTGCTGCTATATTGCAGACAGGAGAGCTCTGAGGCTTCACTTGCTTCGGTTTGCTGAGGTAGAAACACATTCTCATTCTCATTATATAGTTTACATTAATATCTGACTTAATTCTTTTCATAATTCACCGAACGTATTGTGCGAGTACCTCTACAGTTTATCTGAACGCTTCACCAAATTCTACACCAATTGCAAGGTGACC